ATACTGGACAACTTCCCGCAGTCTGTGGGGATTTATTCAGTCTCAAGGTTTTCTGTCTCTTCGTTCCCAGACTGAGTCAATGATGTGTAGATCAACGCTCTATGTGGGCAACACCATCTGTTGCAGGAAAACCTCGTGCTTCTTATTACTGGAGATTTTTCTTTCTTTTATGGCTCTGGCTCTTGTGTTTGGGGTTGCTCAAGTGTTGCAGAATTTGAAGCCGGTCAGACTCCTCTATTGCCTGATGAATGAGAATTAAAAGAAGTGCAACAGCATTGTATACATGCATGTGTGTTTCAGCCCAGTTGCCCACGTTATCTTGTGTAACAGCTGCTTGCTTTCATCACTTTCTCATTCAAGTGCTCGCTTTAAACTCCACCTAATAATGAAATGCTGTCTTGGGGCTGTCGGGTCAGCGTGAACAAGGATGGCACTGAGAACACAATGGAGCATAGCACTGACTTAAGATCATGATTAATAATTTACAGACCTGCCACAAATGTTTTATGGCACATTTTCCTTGCATGAGAAGCTCACTTGTTCGAGTGGTGGGCTGTGTAATTGGCAATATTCAAGCCCTTAAAGGACCGGCGTGTAATATTTAGCGGCATCTAACGGTCAGGTTGCAGATTGCAAACGACTGAGTACCTGTGCGAACGCGTAGGAGAACCGACGGTGGCTACCACTTCAACGCAAACCTTGTGATTGGTTTCTGAGCTGTCTGGAAGAGGATCCTCTCCCTCATGTGGGCTCAGCTAACAGCAGCATTCGTAGTTATTCCATCTCTGCTAGAAGATTCTCCTCAATCCTACATAGTGGTCCTTTAAGTGTTTGTCATACACACCACACAGAGGCTCCGCAATAGTCTCCTCTGATAAGTGTTTCTGCTGTTATCCTCAGTTCTGTGAGTGCATGAACAGAATAAGCCGGCGTCTTAAGCGTTGGTCGATGTAGAAACAAGACATCTCTCTTCATAAATCACGACAGCCTCTCAGATTATGAATTCACTTTGGGATGAATGAATTTAGATGGAAATCGAGGTCAGATTGACATTATTTGTTTAGCCCTTAGTCACAGTCCCGGTCTCAGGGCTCCGCAGGGCCTCCGTGATGAAACAGTAAATCAAAAAAATAAAAAATAAAAATCCCCCCCCCCCTACTTTGTGAAAATGAAACTCAAAGAGGAAAAAAAACTCCCACGAAAAGCTCATCTAAATTTATAGCGGTTTGTTCTGTCTGCGTGTCGATGTTTAACAGGCAGGCTTTTGATCAGTGACACCCCCTACAGATAGAGTGAAGCATGAAGGCCAAACCCTGCCCCACATTGATCCGAACAAACACCCACTTGTGTGCTGTCCTGATGTCACCACAGTGTTATTACACTCGAGCAACAGTGTGTGTGTGTCAGCGGCTGTGTCACATTATGAGCAGCGTCAACATGTGCAGAGCTCATTAGGCGCATTAATTGGCAACGCATCTGTAGTTAATGTGAAATATCCAAATATTTTCATGCAAATGTCTCAACACGCCTCTCCTTCCGTTCTGCTTATTGTCTTGTTTTATCTATTTAAAGACTAAATGTGCTTTTCTTTTGGCATTAAGGATTATCTCATCACAGATAGAGATCAATTATTTTTTTTTAACACCATTCCATGAATGTAATTTCTCCAGTCTCGCGTTATCGCTGCATTTCTTGTGAATTTTTACTTCCAAGTTCCCTCGGCACTTATCTCCTCTTTGTGTTTTTACCCTCTATCTCTCTGTAATCTCCCATTACCCCCCCCTCCTCTTTTCCCATTCCCTCCCTGCCACCCTCCTTCCCTGCCTCTCTCTCCCTCCCTCTTTTTTTTTTTTTTTTTCTCTCCCAGGCGAGTGATGCATGCTGCAAACAGTGTGTGCGTGTAGTGTGAGCGAGAGCCATCGGTGTATGCGTGCGCTCGCCTGCCCGTGTGTCTGAGTGTGTGTGGTGTGTGTTTGTGTGTGTGTGTGTGTGTTGGTGTGTGTTTGTGTGTGTGTGTGTGTGCGCGGCGAGAGAGAGAGAGACATAGACCGAGCCCCTAACACGGAGCATGCCTCTGCGTCCGGCAGCCGGCAAACATGAGCCACCCAGCCCTCCACGGCAGGACCAGCAGCAGCAGCAGCAGCAGCAGCACCACCACACACACACACACTCACACACACTCACACACCCTCACACACACGCAGCAAACGGCAGCCAGGGGGCCAGCACTGACAGCAACAGCTCCCGGGAAGAGGACAGCGGTGCTCCCGTTCCTTACGGCGTTCCGGCTTTCCGTCCCGGCGCAGAGCGTAGCCACAGTGCAAGAGCACCCATGGAGGAGCCGACAGGCAACACCGTGGTCATCCGCATTGGAATCCCAGACCTACAACAGACGGTAAGAGCTTGTTCTGTAGCCACTGCTGGAGAGAGTATAAAAGAGAGGGAAGCTGCCTGCCTCTCCCCCTCTTCCTCTCTGACTGGGTGCTTTCTGCCTCTTTTCTGTCAGCTCTGTGGATTGTTCTTTATCTCTTTTCAACATCTTCCTTTGCCGTCTTTTCTCTTTCCTGCCTCTCTCTTTCTCATTTTCCCTCTCTTTCTGTTTTTTTTTTATGTATGCACACTTAGCGGCTGTATTTGCTCGCTGGCTTCTAGGGGTTCCACTCCCCCCCTCCTCCCCTCTCTCCTCACCCCTCCTCACCCACCCCACCTCACACCGCCTATTGCACTGATGCCTCGCTAATAAATCTACCTCTTCATTAACTGGGCTTCAGCTGACTTTGACAACTGGCCACTTAGGGGTGTGAGAGCGGGAGAGGGGAGGGAAAGGGAGAGGGAGAGAACAAGGCGTCAGGGATGAAGGAGGCTGCGAGAGGCATTGCACATCCACAGGATGACACAAAGTGGAGAATCGTGATAGTTGCAGCTCAACTGTGAAACTTTACCTCGAGCTGTCCCCCCTCGTCTCTCCGTCGTCGCTCTACGGATACGATCCTGCGTTCGTCTTAATAATAAAGCAGTCGTTTCCCTGAAGACGGAGCCTGTGTATTATTGCGGCCACCGAAATACAGAACCATTAGACTGTGACATTGATCGTTTCTTCCCTTCACGTTGCAAATTTCGGTGCACTAGTCTTTGCAAAACCACTGTGATCGAGTGTGTATTTGCTGCAGGAGGTGGTCTGGAACAGGGCAAACATCCCGAATGAGTTCATTTTTTGGATTTTGCAAAAAGCTGTCCTATTGTGTTGGAGTAATTGTTTTGAAATAGAACAGCCATTCTTAAGAAATTGTGTTTTATTCGACTCGTTTTTTTGTCTTTAAAAGTCAGAGCAGCGTCCCTGTTAAAAATGTCCATCACAAGTTACAGGTGAAAACGAAGGTGTTAGCCTGAACTGCAGACAAAACGCAGAAACATTTCACCCCTTATTTGCTGCAGAACAAAATCAAGTGTTCAGTGCAACGTACGCTGACCCCAAAATGTTTCGTTCCTGTGTGTGTTTCTGTCTCCATGTCAGTGGCACACATGAGATCAGGGAGACGTCATGTGACATTTTCTGTGGGGCAACACATTGAGCTTTTTATTACTAATGTGTCTCTGTGTCAACACTTATCGACTCACCCCTTGCCTCTGGAGACGTCCTCCACCAATGGTATAGCAAAATGCAGATTAAACCTTTGCAGCCAGTCACTGCAGTTGCTGTTTTTTTTTTTAAGGGAGGTTCTGTTCAAGTGTGCTTTTTTTGATTCTTTCTCCAGACATTGATGGCAAAGGCAGGAGCCTGGCTTTGTGTTTGTTATTGTTGATTACTTCATTGTTGTTGGCTGAAATGACCCATTGTATCTTAGCGAGGCTGTGGCGCTGTATGGCCGGAATAAAGACAGGAAATAAAAGGAGGGCAGTTGAAAAGAAAGCAGAGAATTCCCTAAAGGTGCTGCAGAATGGCTCTCTCTCTGAACAGTTTTTTTTTTTTGCCAGTCGAGCTTTAACTCATGCGCACACAAAAACACGCACGTTCAAGCATGCGCATACATATCATAGGCGCACAGGGATGTACTGTATGAACCCCCTCACACACAAACACACTTGCCCATAAGTCCTAATCCCATTACCGAGGGACTTACCTTAACGTGCTTATGTAATGTAAAGATGCTCAACAGATCATTAGTTTCACTTTTAAGCGGTCACATTTGGTCCGGTGCGTGGACAGAAAAGCCAGAACGCATATGGTGTGACATAGCGACAGACAGGAAGACAAACAGAGAGAGTGTCTGAAAGTCTGACAGACAAACATTGAGGCAGATGACAGATGGCCAGATTCTGACAGTTTGAATCTTTTATGGAGCAGTCAAAAGTGACTTGTGTGTACTCTGAGTGAGCAGGAGATTACACTAGAATAGTCTGCCTGAAGTAGGATTACACATCTCCTGCTGTGTTTCAAGCCTGGATCAGGAGAATGAAGCACCATGCAAAGATCACACCGGGCAGCACTTTCCCTTTTCAGCAGGAAAGAAGGGAGGAGCGAGGCCTCATGCGGGGAAAAGCCAAAGTATAAAATGGTTTAATCCTCATACTTCCTTTCTCAATCTCTGGCCTGTTGAGTTGCCAATATTTTTTGCTCCCTAATTAGTCTGAAGTATCGGTATTATTCTTGGTCCTATTTATGGAGGTTTAGCTGTTGTGCGAGTTGTTTCCAGTAGAAACTGGAAGATATCGCTTTAAATGAGGTCCCAGAGGTGAGATACCGTCTGTGTTCAATTTATTCTTCGTAGAGTCGGTGAGGTGCTGAAGTGGAATAAACAGCAGTGGTCCTGTGAGTGTGCAAACCTGAAATCAGCCGAAGCCAAGCCCACGATTACATAAGTGTTGCTAAGTCTTTGGTGCAGCTTTAACTAAGCACTGTCTTAACAAGGACACTGTAAAGTTGCATTAGCAGCCAGTTACCGCCATCTGTTCAGTCAGAGTGTTGGGCAGATTTGTAAAGGCTGCGCTTTTTTTTTTCGGATCATAGGTATCATTTGTCATTCATCATATCCAGCTCCACCACCAAAACTCTATTTCTATGATTGGAGCAAAAAGAGACACCTTCCCAATACTGCTAATGGGTGTCATTCATCTCTTCAACAGAGGAGAGTGAGACACAGACATAAATAGTCTGTCCCACTACTCTCTACCTGCTTTAATCCATATTCTCTGTTTGATTCTCTTGTTGCCTCTGTCAGTGCAATCTCTCCC